GCCCACCTGGGCTGCCCAGTTAAGACCAATGTCGTTCTCATGTGGGCATGCCATGGGCAACCAACTGGGTCCCACATGGGCATCCCACCTAAGGCCCATATGGAGCCGAACTGGAACCCACGCGGGGCCTACCTGAGCTGCCCAGTTGGGACCCACGTAAGCATGGCTAACTGGGTCTCACATGGGCAACCCACCTGGGGCCCGCTTGGGACTTAACTTTGATCCACATGGGGCCCACCCGGGCTACCCAGTTTGGACCCACGTGGGCATGTTCAGGTGGGGCCCACACGGTATGTCCAGCTGGGGCCCACGTAATCAGCCCAGTCAGGACCCATATAACTAGCCCTGATGGGACCCTTTCAACCACCCCATGTGGGCTCCAGTTGGGCTTCACCGATCTGTTCGTATTCAAATTCTGTTCTGTTCAAAATCTGTTCAAATTCCATCTGATTGATGGATCGCCGTAATTCCAGGCGGGCTACTTCACATCATCAATGAGCCAGGTCAAGGTTTATTCACTATGCATTTTACCGAATCGTCTCGGCAACAGCATTAGTGCACAAAACATACTCTTTGCTGTTAACATGCCCGGTGCGACAATCACTAAACCATTCAACGGATGCTATGCGTTGCCGTTGCTGCCGTTGTTAGCGCGGTGTTTCCTGCCGTCGTCGCAGTCTCTCGTGCCGAAACCATTTTCCTGGTATCTATTCCGTTTTGTTGCGGGAGACTCCGTAGCGCGGTGTGTTGCGCAGGATGATCCCTCAAAATGGCGATGTTCAGTACCTCAGATCACTGCCCCACGGCATGAGCGTGAATGATTATCCCTGTACACAGATTTTGGTACTGAAAGAACTGATTTTATGTCAATTCGCTTACCGGAGTCGATAACGGGAGCAGCCGTGTCGAATAGAAGTGCATAAATGTATTAAACATGCACTCTCTTAGAGTGCTTGTATGGGAAAATTTTGCGTGAGGCCACTTACATGGAGAAGTTGCATGAAAGCCGACTTGAGTTATGCCTTCCTGGGGTCACAATAACAACGACATCAAAGTACTAATGGTGTAATATATGAGGGTGGCCAAGAGAAACGTTCATATTTCATGAGCAAAAAGAGGAGTGCTGTAATTCATTTTGCCCGGACGATACCAACAAAATCGTTACTGTCATTATTAGAAAAACCGGAGCATTATAGCTGTCAGCTGTCTACAGGGGAACGCGATATTGTCTACATACACCTTTTTCAGGCGGTTGCTTTCCGATTCACTCACTCATAAAAGCGTGAGTTTAGGTCGTTTTAGGCCCGCGCTCTTTGCCCCTGCAATGGATGGCCTGCGGCTGACGGCAACACAAGCAGTCGCCAATGGTTAATAGGTGCACTTGTTAAAAATGTCTGAAATAAAGAATAAGACAGCGAACTCCGGCCAAAAACGACTAGCACAGTTTAAAAGGAATGCTGTCATGTTTTCTTAGTCACGGTTCCAAAACCCGTTTTCCTGATGTTTTTTTTTCGTGGAAAGGCTCAGAGAAATGAAACAGATCAATTGCGTTTTCGCAATGTTCATCTTGTGAAGTTGCCAATAGCCGTGGCAAGGAAATCTTCGCTGTAAATTTTGGCAAAATTGCACGTGAAGTACAGGCTGCACGAAACGAACCCATATAGTACAATACCTGCTTTTCCCAGCATGATGATACTGGAGCAGCTGCAGCTGTCTTTGACGGAAGCCTCTGCTTACTGGCGGACATCGTGTTTCCGGGCGGCCAGAAGCAGTCCTCAAGCAGCGTTCCAGAGCAGAGCAGCCACAGTTCTCAGCAGCACTTCAGCAGTTCAACAGCATAACATTTCTCCAGCTAACCAAGGCTGGAGTGGGTGCCCATCCCTCCCCCATCGAAAATCGCAACAATGAACCTCATCCTGCCGGAAAAACACGGAAAAAGGGAGAAAATGGAAAACATTAATAGCACATCACTTGCATCTTTCACGCAAACACATCAGGAGAAACAGGCGATGAGATGTCGCATATGTCAAAAGTCATGCAGGTCCAGGGCCTCATCTAAAACCTTTTTAATGAAGGGGGTAGGGCGAGATCTCTTACCTGTACATAATTTTAGCCTCATATGACACTCCGTACAGTGACGGAAGTCGACTTCATTTAATTGAATTTCATTAACATAGGGGAGAGGGTTTCCACGCCACTGGGTGAGGAGGGATGCACAACATTGGGGAATTTTCGCCTGCTTTTCAACATGGGTGCACCGGCACTCTGCATGGCATAGCACGGCCCTGCGAGTGTACCGCTCGCATCAAACGCGCCAAATCAATTAAAAGGAATTCTGCCACACGAAAACGCAGTGCACGAAACGGAAATGATATCGCACAAGACACTCTCACGGATGCACCCAGCACGCGAGCAAAAACACTTCCAGGAGCCGTCCTTCCTACGAGCCAACCTGTGTGGGAATGCAGCCACCCTTCCCGAGCTGCGCGCCGGGACGGGCCCAACGGCCCCCAGCCGCCAGCCGGCAGCCGCCAGCATAACAATCAGGATGCCGGGGCGGGGACGATGTGACCAACGGCTCGTACAGCCTGCAGATAATCTCGGAAAATTATCCAGAATGCCGGAAAAATTATCCAAAATGGCGATCGGTACTGCTGACACGGAAAATTATCCAGATAAGTTTCCGTAGCGAGGGGAACCCTGCGGAATTTCCGGAGCAGGGTCAAGACGGAGAATCTGTTTTCGCTATGCATAGCTATAACCGTTGGCTGTAGATGGCGTATTGGAGACTACCATGGAGGATAAATTTTGAGACCGGCCGAGTGTGCATGGACAGTATCCTCGGATGATTATCGGAGAGATAGTTATTCGATGAATAATTTTCATTCGGCCGAACGCGCCCCAAGCATGGTCGAGAAAACGATTGCGTTATTTGGGGGAGGACTTTGAGGGACCGAGTCCACCTCTACACAGCTGAGATAATTCAGCGGTAGGCTTGCGGATTTGCATGGAAAGAAGCACCTCAAATGCCTCTAATCCATACCCCCCCCCCCCCCCCCCCATTCTTGGCAACTTCCTTCGCTCCTGCAACCAAGAAAGGGCACCGGGTGGGTCAGCGCCGGCAGAAGCGGGGGCCAAAGTCCGGCGGCGTCATGTACAGCGGGGCGTAATGGATGGGAGGGGGGCTGGGCAGGTTGACCGCCCTTTAAAATGCCCTTTTCCGGCCGGCGATGACTTCAGTGTTTCCGTTGGACGCACTGCATCCCTGGAGACCGTTTGACCTGAACATGATCATGCGCACATCAGACATCTGAATTCCAACTTTATGTGCGCACTAACGTGAAACGAACTTTGTCGGTGTAAAACAGTTGAGAACGAATGCTCGTACATCCACACCATACGTCTGCAAAAAACGTTACGTTCCATGAGCGGACATGACTACTAGTGGCGCCGCGGCCGACCCTGGTGGCAGGATATTGAACTAGTGTGTTTACCGCAGTGTTGTCTCAGAAGTAAAATTTTGTGTTTGCGCGTGCGCCGTGTGCCATGGAGTCATAAATCATCATTTGCTAGTCCATATTTTGGTGCAGAATTTAATTCTTTACGTGACGGTATTAAAAATAGTTGTTAAGCTTTGAGCATGTCGTCGCCAAAGTAATTAAATCAGAGCAATGTCAAGAGGGTTGCCACGTGTAAACTCAATTGCCGCGCGAAGCGCCCACGCGGAACATTCAAATTACGCAGCACCAGGTCGTTAAAATATCATATCATTTCATTGCTAAGGCAGATAATGATAGACAATTTAATTCCCCGTTTGATGGTGTTACGCATCTCCTGGTGTGATTTAGTATGTCGTCGCGAATTTCAGTTAAACTAATGGATATCACGGATGTCACCTGCGCGCAGGACGTCCGTGATGTGGCGTGCGCGTATTCTGTCCTTGTCAGTGGCAGGACAGTCGTGCGCAGGTCGACGCTTGTCTACAAGTTTTAACATTCATGCATAAATGCAGAAATGTATATGCGTGAATGGTTTTACGCATAAACATGAAAACGGTCAGGTGCAAATGTGTTTGCGCATAAACGTATGTATTGATGTGAGCTGCTTCACTACAAAGATAACGGGGCCCTGGTATCAGTAGCTGATTCAGCAGAACCAGATAATGTGAAAATTAAAATATGTTCGGCATAGTCACTGCATTTTGCTGCCCCGCCCCCCCCCCCCCTCCCCCCTTTGCACAACGTGTCCGAATCTGGTCACGGCGCCGCGTCTGTCTGCGCAGAAAATTGAAGGTCTTATTTCATCAATATGGCGCTTAGAATATAGCAAGTGTAACTCAGCACAGCCGTAGAATCAACAGACAGCAAAAATCCAGGTTCTGAACGAAAACCAGTAAAAATAACGAGGTTTCTTTATTGCACACAAATTTGAAGGCCAACCATAACAGTTGGCGGCGGTGCCGCCGATACCACGACGACCCGCCTACGCGCGAGGGCGACACCGCGGCTTGGGTGGCTGTCCAGCCCGGTCGCACCATCTTCCATGCGGCTGGGTCACTGGCCGCGTCTCCGTAGAGGCAGCGCTTCCTCGCAGCGTTCTAGAAAGTCTGCCTGCGATGTACAGCCGCCACGGCACACTCATGCATTGGACGCGCCCTTCTTTGACCCACAGAGCAGGTGATTCAGGACCCTTGCTCGCCTCAAAAGGATCTGCTTTGGGGCCTGTTTGAAGTTTGCTGCACTGAAGTATGTTGAGGTCACGAAATGATTTAGTTTTAATTCATTTTGTTGTTCAAAGGTACCTAGGCGACCCACACGTGAATTAATTTCATGACAGTGGTGGCCAAGAATACGGAGATAGGGCGTAAGGGCTCCAGTTCTGCGCTTATGCCACATGGTCACTACCAGCTCATACCCATGTTCTCTCTCCTTTTCTTTCATCACATCACCCTCCATCACATACTCCTTGTCCTTTCTCATCTTCCCCACCCTTACAGTGCACTCAGAAGGCACTACTTTATTGGTATCTCCCACTGCACTAACACAACGCACATGCCATCCTTGCTGGTGTGTCTCACTATTATATAGGATAGTGTCCACACTTTTGCCCACAAAGTAATGAAGGTCTTTAAACAGAACTGGCACACTGACAGTACACCTTGCTTTTTGCCGAACAGGAAAACAAAGAGCCTTGAAGATTTTGGTGTTTAAAGACTTGGCAACGAGAGCAAGAGATGGTTTGATAACTGTATTCTGAGGTGTCCCATAGAACTTCTGGGTGCTGATACTCTTCATCTGAAAAGGATGGAAAATGGTTCAGGAAAAAGCAAGCATTAAATGAACATCACTGTCATTCTGTACCACATGAGCTGTGAGATGAAAATGGTAGTCATGTTTATGGTCATGCAGGAGAGCAACTGAAATGCAGTGGAACATGCAATTGACTTGGCATTATGCTCTGTCCATCATAACATCATTGAAAAGAATGAAGTTCATAAAATTGAAGGAATTAAGAAATGAATAGTGTTTGTCATCAATAAAATCCAACAGAGTGAAAACTGGAAATGTCAAAACACATGGTGATACTTTTGCCATGATACACATGATACCTGCTTTTAATTGTCTTTAAAAAAATTGGAAGTTCCCATGGATAATCAAACACCAACATAGGTTTGTGTACTGGCCAGAAGAAATGTAGCATTCGGTTGGGTTGGGAAATGCAAGCCTGACACAAGGCTCAGAAGCATGGTCATTACAAGGACATTCAGTGGGCAATACTCCCTCAAAAGAGACCAACTTCATCCTACTGCAATGTAGCATCCAGCAAAATGTCAACATACATTGTACAGTGGTACCAAAGGTGCTCGAATGAATAAGGCCTTGCCAAACAGCTGAATTAGGTCAACAATGCAGTCAGCAAAAGGCATCTGCTGAATGGCATAGAGGTAAGATCAATGTGCAGACTGCTTGGTGCATGGGTGTGCCAGCATAGCCTAGACCGCGCTGGGCTGAAGTTCCTGATGTTTTGTTTGCATATGATCACCATCACAGCATTATGATTTCTTCAGTATTTCTATCAGACTTACTTCCCGCATGGCGAGGTCAGAATTCTGAGGGTTTTCGTAGGTGCTGATACCATGGGAAACTTGTGCTAGAAACCTTAGGCTGCATAGCATTGATACTTTTGTCAAACCTGTTAAAAACACTTCCATGCAGTATGCAAAATTATAATTCATGAACATTCATTGCTTATTGGAGGCCATTAACAATGAACAGGCAACAGCTGAATCCCAGTCATTGCTCCTGCATATAAGTGTGCTGCTTCTGAAGCCAGAAGTCAGGTTCAAAAGGATTCAGATGTGTAGACCCTAGAATAATGTACAAGATCAATTTAGTTTTAGATGTGGGCATGACCAGAAAGTGCTGGAATGTAGATTGTTGCCATGCGTGTTGGTATTATGATCAGGTGATGTATGTTGCAAATCAGACATTGCTAGCCTTTATGGTGTAAGCAAATGAAACTCTCAATGTATGCACATGTTCGTTAATGCAGGCATACAGATATGCTGCTAGGTTTGAGATCCAATTGATGCTTAAAAGAAATTCTCAATTTTGTTTTGTTCGCAAAGACCTTGGTTCATCAAACTAACTGATCTAACCTCATGCAATTCCACGGTAAGTATACCATGTTTTCACCCGTGAAAAAAATGACGAGGAAGATTGGATGATGCATCAGGGTATCGAAGGAGCATTCATGTGTGAAACAATACGCACCTTTCACCCATCTTCGCCAGACACGTCCCTCCTTGCTGCTGAAAAACCATGTCCACAACTCCAACGCGCGAAGCCGGAGCGGCGGCAACGTTATACAGGACGCACAAAGTGCCCGCCGTTTCAGCGCCAATTATTAGCAACGTCTATCGCAGGCGCGCCATACTCGTATTAAATGCTGGGAATATATAAACGTCTTGATAATTATTTTCTTTCCTTATGCGCCCCAATGTCCGCAGGTATACGGCGTTTAAACCGTAACGAAAAACCTTAGTGAAAGTAGTTTATTACACAAGCTTCATCCTTGGCAAACAGCTGCAAACGACCTTATGCATGCGAACGTTTACGATAAAAAGAGTTTCGTGCTGAGGTTTTTCGGACTTCTATTTTGCCAAGCAAGATTTTTCGTTAGGATACTTTCACATTGCGAATCTGACGCCGTACGCAGCTTACCTTGGCGGACCTTACGCATGCAGACTTGTAACTTGCAAACAGTTCCCACACGGTGTTTTCTGTATGTGCTTTTGTCCGCAAAAGCAGAGACAATACTTGTCGGGCGTCATCTAGTTGCTGTGCCAATAACTGTTGAGATTAAAAGTACGCGCAGAAAAAGATCGCACAGTATTTTTTCTTCAGATGAAGTATGTATGCCTAGCCACAGTAGAACAAGACAGGCATACTTAACAGCTCGTCATGCAAACAGTTGACCATGCAAACAGCGACAAAAGATACAAGTTGTGCGACAAAAAAATACGTCGGGGGAAACAACCGTAGCGAACATACTCTGGGCGGAAAAGTTCATGGAAAAAGTCTTTTGAGCTGCTAAAAGGCTGATACTCTTCGGCGGTAAAAAATTGTCAGGATCCGCACGTTGTCATATGAAGTTTTAATGTTAGTAAGGTGTTTGTGCGCACATTTTTATACGCGTGTGCTCCTCAGGGGCAGACTCTGTTTTTATACGCGTGTGCTCCTCAGGGGCAAACTCTGTTTTATACGCGTGTGCTCCTCAGGGGCAGACTCTGTTTTTATACGCGTGTGCTCCTCAGGGGCAGACTCTGTTTTTATACGCGTGTGCTCCTCAGGGGCACACTCTGTTTTTATACGCGTGTGCTCCTCAGGGGCACACTCTGTTTTTATACGCGTGTGCTCCTCAGGGGCAAACTCTGTTTTAATACGCGTGTGCTCCTCAGGGGCAGACTCTGTTTTTATACGCGTGTGCTCCTCAGGGGCAGACTCTGTTTTTATACGCGTGTGCTCCTCAGGGGCAGACTCTGTTTCAGCTAAATATGGACATCACGCATCACATATCATGTATCACTCATATATACAAACAATTTCAAGCTAGCGCGCGTCACGCATTAAGGCACTTATCAAATTCGCATTATCAGCCATGATGAGTCCTGCACGCTTGGGTCTGGTCGCCGACTTTTTATAAGAATGGGCTCACTAGCTTTCCTATTTGGATGGTTCTGTGCTTTGTGTATGACAGTTTTAAGAAGGTTACATGGTCCGAACCTCCGTGGATTCCAGCCTTAGTGCGTTATGCATTGTACTGAACACACTACGAAATATTCATGCATCTCTTTTCCTTTCTCCTGGTCGTTCGACGAGGAATACAGCTATCAGTGCTGTCTTATGCACGTGCAATGCTCCTCAGAGCTGCGCTGGACAGCTTGCGCATTTTTTAAAGGGCTCTATAATGCTCAACAAATGTTTGCAGCGTGGATAGCGTGATACACCGGTAAATAAAACCCTGGTGAAGAGGGATTGTACATGAAAACGTCTAAAACAGCAAAGGCTTGAAAAACGATTATCACAGATGTTCGGCGGTGATTTGGCTTAAGTGCCCCCCCCCCCCCCCCCCACCCATTTTGTTGCTATAGAGATCAGCATCGACTGTGGCAGATGATACCGTGAATGAATTACGTGAAGACACCAAACATTTTTGTAAAGAGGCTTCTGGCTGCCCCCCCCCCCCGCCCTGTGGAATGGTACATGAAAAATGCAACGTAGTCTATTCCTAATGGGTCTCAATTGTATGTGAATACGACGACATAAAAGCATACGACAAATGAAGTAAAGGCAACCGTTTGTCGGTGGCAGCCGATGACATATTTTCACTCTTTCACGTCGTGGATCATTTTTTAAAATGTGATGGTTTCAGCGCCACCTGCAGAGGAGGCGCCTTTGCTGAAAAATGGATTCTAATTGCAGAAGAATGTTGGACGTCTGGCTGTAAATATATCATTATGCACCGACACTCAGAGAGACATACAGTTTTGAAGTGGCAAACGCTTCAATCCGTGGGTTATCATCCCTTTTTCTTTCCTTGGAATCATGCCTCATAGGGAGTACCTATAAATGCCTTTTGATACGCCATGTCGTACACAGAATCGCACATTTGCATATGGATTCACAGTTATATGCTTTAACCCTCGCCCTGCTAAAGGGGAGGGCGATGCACCATTCCCCCCCCCCCCTTGAAGTTTCTTGGAATATCTCAGGAACGTGCAATTGCGCCGAATATTTCGTTATCACATGGCTATTCATTGTGTGTGTTGTGACTCAAAAAGTTTTCATCAGTTTGATTTCTGAAAAGCGAAGTTGTCGGAATACTGCATGATGATCTATGGCTAGTGCGGGCGGCGGCCGGCAGCCGGCGGATCCGCCGATGGCGCACGGCGGCCAACGCTGTTACATCAACAGGGCCGTGCAAAATAAACGTGCGTTCAAAACATATCAAATAGATATATGCATATGTAGATGCATTTTCATATATATATATATATATATATATATATATATATATATATATATATACATATGATTGCACCATGTAAGTTGTTTGCCGTTATGATGCATTGTGACGTAAGCATGCGTGTGCGAAGCTGAATAGCGTCGTTCACCGGAAAAATTGACGCTTGATCCGTCCTACTCGGGTGAAATATAGTCCTAGATACATCCAACTAGCTACCAATCGCGAGATCTGGTTGGGATCAATCAACTGGATTTTCCGCGGAAGTGTTTTTTTCGCAGTTTGGTAGACAGAGGTCGCATTGACCGCTCCCCATCTTCATGAAAAACGGTGATTTGGGAGCGAAGGTGAAACGACGCAATATGATCGGGTATCCGAATAGTTTCCTGGCCTACAAATGCCGTTGCATGCAAGTACATTGGTTAGCTCATAAAAACTGGTGATCCAGCTAAATCGTAAGCAACGAAATGATCAGGCAGCCTTTTTCAGCTGCGAGCGTTGATTCCAGGTTTACCATCCAACCACTAATGCCGTGAGTGGACAGAAGCTTTCCACATGCTGAAAGTCCTTACGGAGGTTGGTAACTGTAGTATTAGCTTCCAAACAACGAAACAATTTAGTCGAGTCGCCCATGTCGGACTTCTGACACTGAAGCTGTCTATAAGTTCAAGCATGACCCTCTGGGTCTGTGTTCCTTGAACAGCAAGCAGTTGAAAGAGACTGCATCTGATCCGTTGCATGCAACCGCCAGAAACTCCGACCAAGAGTATAAAACACAGCAGTTAGCGGCGTGCTCGATGCTGCCGGCCCACCTGGCCAGCCGGCCCGCATAGTAACCGGCCCGCTGACTGGCATCTCCGCGCCGCTGAACCAATGCGAAACCTTCACTCGCCACTGCCGAGATCCCAGCGGGCGACCGGCCAGCGGGACACCCGTAATTGCCGGGGGAGCTCCAAACGCGACCAATGGTCCATAGAGCACTGGAAGGTAAATAGAGGGCTCACTTCCTACTGCCCTTACTGCACAAACTTCCGACCAACTGCTTGAAGTGACATGGCAGTGAATCGGCCAATGTTGACACGAGCCAAACTCGTCCCTACGCAGTCAACGCGGATGAGATCCACGACAGCTGCCCCTCTTATTTGTACATGGCATGGTAAAACCGAACGAGGAAGCCCGCGGACGAAAACTATTACGCATATAGTCAAGATGATAGCATATGGGCAGCCAATCTGGGTCCCAGGTGGGGCCCAGACGCCAGCTCATTTGCATCCCATACTGGCATGTGGCGAGCATTGATTAAAGCAAAAATTTATGCACTAATATAAGTAAAAGATGTCAGCATATGAGCAGCCCATCTGGATCCGACATGGAACCCAAAGAGCCTTCTGTGGCCCATGTTGACTTGAGCCCATCAGGCCCACATGCATCCCACATGAACCCCAGCCCGTGCTGCTCTTCTCTGTTATGTACTCCTTTGTACATGATGAGGAAAAGTCTAACGTAGGTGCGCAAAGAAGCCAGCCTAATGCATTTGTGCCAAATACGGTGACGTATGGGCAGCCCATCTGGGTCCCAGGTGGAGCCCAAATACCAACTCACTTGCAACCTACATGGACATGAGCCCAGCTAGCCCATGCTCAGCCCGTACGGACCCCAGTCCAGTCAGCTGTCCCATGTTGTAAAATGGTTTCACACTGATATGGTAAAACCTCAAAACAATAAAACAATTGATGCACATATAATTGTGTTTGTTCATCTCGATTGCGTATGTTACATATCGGCAGCTCATCTGGGTCCAACATGGGGCCCAAAGACCAACTCACCCGCGGCCCACATTGAGGTGAGCCCAATTTACCCACACATATCCCATATGAGCCCCAGCGTGCTGCTCTGCTTTATGTACGCTTTGCACATGATAAGGAAAAATCCAAGACGGGAGCACAAGGTGATAAGCCTAATGCACCTGCACCAAATATAACAGAGCATGGGCAACCCATCTGGATACCAGATGGAGCCCAAATACCAGCCCGCCCGCAACTTGCCTAAACACAAGCCCAGCTGGCCTGTGCTCAGGCCCATATGGACCCCAGTCCAGCCAGCAGTCCAATGTTTTAGAATAATGTTACACCATATGGTAGAACCTAGACAGAAAAAAACAATTGGTATACACATAAATGATGTGTGCGGCAACTTTATTGCGCATGTAACATATGGGCACCCCATCTGGGCTCCAGGTTTAACCTATATACCAGCCCATCTGCAGCCCATTTTGATATAAGCCCAGCTTACCCACATATGGCCCAT